CTTAGTATTTTTCTATCAATTTTATTAACGATATATGATTAAAGTTTAAATTTTAGTTTGCGATTTAAATAAGATAAGTGGTGTTTTTTAGCTTAAATGGTTCGGTTTTAAACCTATGCTTTTCTTTCAACCTAAGTTTTAAGTTAAAATCGACGGTTTTGGGTCTAAGCTTTTGTCCCAATTAATGATCTACTCGGGAGTGCTTCTACCTAGACCGGACCCGGATCCCACCCGTTCATAGCCCTATCTTGAATGACGGCCAATTTCCAGTCGAGCCACCAGTCAAAGCATGACGAGAAATAGTCAGTCACTTATCTGAAGGAATTAAAAGAAAATGGAAGTCCTTTAAGCAGGGGATGTGTCAGATATACTWACATTATTAACGGAAAGCGGAAACAATAGTATGGCGCGATATAGTTGGAATGCCCTCCCAAAAGTAGCAACGCCTCGAGGAGTCCAAAACTACGCATTTAACCAGAGCGAATTAGAAAGCCATACACCCAAAAGAGGACACAGAATGAAGTGGAGAGTTGAGAAACTTACACGGAAGATTGGACCACCTTCCTCATAGTAAAGCCATGAGAGCTTGCAGAGCTTGCCTGCAAGTCGAGCATTCTCCGTGCCTGCACCCATAAGACCCAAGGATATTATAGCCACTGCCACGACTGACAGACCTTGTCTTCCAAAAATGATATAATTTAGGTATACAGACATTGTACAAAAAACGCATACCTGTACAACTTCCGCATCCGTATTGCTTCTGAGTCTCCTTTGCGCTCACGCCCTTCACCTGTCAAGAATATCAAATCAGGAACAGGAGGACGATAAATAGTTTACAAGTGAATATAGAAGAAGAGGGTTAGTGTGGCTTATTTTGGACTCTTGCGTATGCAAGGCCTCGACGGACTACTGCTCTAATTCGAACGTTTGAATCTGCTCCAATGACGCAATCTCATGGAAGTAGTGATGCCTGTAGAAGCCAAGGGGAGTATTTGAAAATTAAAAGAAGTAACAACCACAAAAAACGGCAATAAGGCAAGAGAAGCCCTTATAAAAAGTTCCCACAGATATAACCAATGGTGGATTACCCTGAAAGCTAAATTACTGTAGCCGTAGTAGCAGAAAAGAGAAGAAGAAGAAGAAGAKATGCAGGAATGTCRAACTCTCTACTCAGTCGACAGTACTATTATTTATATTATGGTGTAGTACAATGATACAGGAAGTTACTAGAATGCCCCTGATTAGTGATGGGACACCCAGACAACTTAAAACA